TCTTCCGTCTTTTTACAAACTGAACCGCGTGCGAGCATCGCATACGCGATAGTAATTTCGGCCTTCGATTGTAAATGTCGCGTATGACGTACATAAATGTACACAATGCTTTTACATGAAGAACGTTTTTATCATGCTGAGCTTTCCAATAAAAAGAGAAGAAGAGACAGATAAAATGACAGAGCAATCGTTTGACATTATCATCGCTTACTAACGAGATTCTATCCTTGAAAGTCTAATATAATCTTGGCTATTATTTACACAAGCTTGCGGCCGCGTTTTATTTTTAACTCACTAAAACGGACATATGAGATATATTTTGCCCAATCTATATAAAAACGAGATTTTTAGTTAAAAAAAAAAGAATCTTAATAATAGTATAGCACTATGAACTTTAAATGTTCATATAAGTATAATGTTCTACTTTATAAATTTTCTTACTTTTATTTCTTTCTTTTTATATATTCATTATTATTATTATTATCTTCAAAGTAATTGTATAACCTCAAAGTAATATGTTATATATTCATAATTGCTATTATATATATATATATTATAATTAACGCGCGTTCTTCCTCTCTTTCTTTCTCTCTCTGCATATTTATATGTAATTACTTGTGAGCGTTTAAAGCGTGGAATAAATCAATATTATTAACAAATGAATAAGAGGGCAACGGGAATCATTGTACAGTTTTACACATTTGTTATATTCTGAAACTACAGATTCTTTGACGAAGTTGGTAAAGTTTCACTCAATGAAAGATTTTAATTGAAAAAAATAATTCCGAAATATTCATTACATCGCAAAGAATTAATACGGTCATTAAAATCGTAAATAACTCACGAGTTATAATTAACCGCGAATTCCCCCTTTTTCCCTCCTCTGCAATATCGTTGGCTGACTCTCTCTGGTCAAACAAGTACATATGAACTTCGAAAGATAGATACAAGTTGCAGAGTGAGTAGAGATTGCGCCGAAGCAGTTCGAAAATAAAATCACATATGATGCAAAGGGAAAGATTTGATGGCGGAAAAGCAATTTTTAAGATGTAATGGCAGTTAAAATATTCTTTTCACTTTTTCTCTCTTTACTTCTTTTCGTTTTTCTATTTTAAATAATTCTTGTGGAGAGATTCCCTATTCAGATTTTAAATATATCCATATTTTATTTATTTAAGTGTAAATCTAGAAATACGAATTAAAAATAAAAATCAAAGAGTTATTGCTTAATAGAATTACCTGAATATAAATATACAATAAATATTTGATGATTATAAAGAGAAATATCCAGATTATTGAACAGTTTATTTTTGAGGAGATACGTAAGTCTAAATAATTTATCTCTATCTCACAATTTTATTTATTAGAGTGACACTCTCAGAAAGTATCGTGAAATTTTTTTTCTTTTTGACATTTGGTGTAAAATATCAATATCTTATTTAAATACGATTATATTAATATTAAAAATAATATATAAAAAAATTTCATAATATTTTCTGAGAGTGTCACTCTAATAAATAAAATTGTGAGATAGAGATAAATAAATTATATACACAGTTACGTATCTTTTTTCAAAAATAAACTTTTCAATGATCTGGGTATTTCTTTTTATAATCATCAAATATTTATTATTATATATTTATATTCACACAATTCTATTAAGCAATAACTCTTTGATTTTTATTTTTAATATATATATCGGTACCATAATATTCGAATACAGTATAGTTATCGGTTTTTTTCTGGTAGCGAAGCATCGTTACCTACATGCGTTTGTGTAATCACTCGTATTCTCTCACTTACACGCCCGCACGTATGCGCGTCTGTTGGTCGATTACGACGCCGTTTTAGCATGCTTAGCGCGTAGGCCACGCGATATTCCAAGTACGCTGGGCTATTTTCATGCTACGCCAAGAAGACACGGAGAGCGAGCGGGAGAGTATAACGCGCGCTATGTCTATAGCAATGGTGACATGACGATGAAGCGACACGGCCGGCTCCGCCAAGCCGTATAAAGCCGGAATCGGCCAGGCTACGAGTGGGATCGTCGGAATTTCTCTCGATTTGTCATCTATTCGTGGTAGGGATTCTCTACCGGAATTGTAAGTTCGATTCGGACTAGTACGGGTATATTTCTATAGAAGAATAATTACTCTCAAATGTGTAAACTTTTTTTAAAAATTGTTCCAGTTTTGAACAAATATTTGCATTAAAACGATAAATAGTAAAAAGAGAGCTTCGAAATACATACATATTTAAATTATTACTTTTTATATCGAAATGATATTCTTTCTTTTTAATTTGCAAAAGAACAGAGAGAAAAACAATTCTACTCTGTGTTTGTAAATTTCTTAAGGAAATGGAAAAGGATGAGATGTGACTCGAGAATAAGTAGCCGTTATAATGCTTAATATTTCTTTGAAACAAGTATAAACACGCGATGAACTTGGCACTTGTTTTGTGTGTAAACAATATCAAAGATGAGAGAAGTTCGCGGAACAAGTTAAAGAAACGAAACGAAAATGAAAAGGATTTATATTCTGTTAACATCTCTGTTACGCTTTGAAACGTTCGACAAATGAACGTAAAGTATGTTATTTTCTAAAGCAATTATTAACATATTCTTTGAGAAAACTTTGTATTGATTGAGAAACGCTAAACTATTTAAACAATATATATGACTTAATACTATTTTATAATAAAAAATATTATTAAAAGTATGACGAAATTCGTGCGGTCAAGAAATTTAAAATTTTCTCATATATATTCTTCTTTTACATAATTTTTATTAAATGCGTTAAGACGTGGAAAATAATTACGTGAATAATAATAATTATGTGTATAGTAACTCTTTGTAACATAGAGTGACATAGTAACTCTTATAACAAAAGACTATACGATAGTAAATCTCCCCCCACTCTCTTTCTCTCTCTCTCTCTCTCTCTTTCTCTCTCTCTCTCTCTCTCTCTCTCTCTCTCTCTCTCTCTCTCTCTCTCTCTCTCTCTCTCTCTCTCTCTCTCTCTCTCTCTCTCTCTCTCTCTCTCTCTCTCTCTCTCTCTCTCTCTCTCTCTCTCTCTCTCTCTCTCTCTCTCTCTCTCTCTCTCTCTCTCTCTCTCTCTCTCTCTCTCTCTCTCTCTCTCTCTCTCTCTCTCTCTCTCTCTCTCTCTCTCTCTCTCTCTCTCTCTCTCTCTCTCTCTCTCTCTCTCTCTCTCTCTCTCTCTCTCTCTCTCTCTCTCTCTCTCTCTCTCTCTCTCTCTCTCTCTCTCTCTCTCTCTCTCTCTCTCTCTCTCTCTCTCTCTCTCTCTCTCTCTCTCTCTCTCTCTCTCTCTCTCTCTCTCTCTCTCTCTCTCTCTCTCTCTCTCTCTCTCTCTCTCTCTCTCTCTCTCTCTCTCTCTCTCTCTCTCTCTCTCTCTCTCTCTCTCTCTCTCTCTCTCTCTCTCTCTCTCTCTCTCTCTCTCTCTCTCTCTCTCTCTCTCTCTCTCTCTCTCTCTCTCTCTCTCTCTCTCTCTCTCTCTCTCTCTCTCTCTCTCTCTCTCTCTCTCTCTCTCTCTCTCTCTCTCTCTCTCTCTCTCTCTCTCTCTCTCTCTCTCTCTCTCTCTCTCTCTCTCTCTCTCTCTCTCTCTCTCTCTCTCTCTCTCTCTCTCTCTCTCTCTCTCTCTCTCTCTCTCTCTCTCTCTCTCTCTCTCTCTCTCTCTCTCTCTCTCTCTCTCTCTCTCTCTCTCTCTCTCTCTCTCTCTCTCTCTCTCTCTCTCTCTCTCTCTCTCTCTCTCTCTCTCTCTCTCTCTCTCTCTCTCTCTCTCTCTCTCTCTCTCTCTCTCTCTCTCTCTCTCTCTCTCTCTCTCTCTCTCTCTCTCTCTCTCTCTCTCTCTCTCTCTCTCTCTCTCTCTCTCTCTCTCTCTCTCTCTCTCTCTCTCTCTCTCTCTCTCTCTCTCTCTCTCTCTCTCTCTCTCTCTCTCTCTCTCTCTCTCTCTCTCTCTCTCTCTCTCTCTCTCTCTCTCTCTCTCTCTCT